CAATGTAAAAGTTTATATCAAATAACGCAAAAACTATGGCAGATATTGAGATGATTCTTTTTTTATATGAAAGGTCTTAAAAAGTTCTAGTGCACTATTTAGTTGTAAATTAATAAATTGTTTAAACAATATTTTTTTTCAAATATTTTTGGTTAAAATAAACGTAAAAAATTTTTTTTTGAAATAGGGCACTACAGAATTTGACCCACTTTCCGAATCTGTTTTTATTTTTAACATAAAGTGTAACACAAAGCAGCTATTTGGTATAAACTTTTTTTAAAATCTCAAATTTTGCTAAATGTAACTTTCTCTCTCGGCCAGTACAGGCTGTCCTTGTCGATAGTTTCTGGATTCTCGTCGACACGGTTAGGTTGGTTAGGTAAGAAGTATAATACCCTCTCGAAGGTGGGTCATAAATAATGTTGAATAACATTATTAGGGTTTATTTCGACTTTTGACAAACCAGTGTGTTGATTGTTTTTAAAATGGGTAGTTCACGAAGAAGTTTATGTTCCGATTGAGGAAATTTTATATAAATAAGCAGTACCTATAATAAGTACCTATAATTTGATTAAATTTTTATATGAATAGAAATATTTTCTGTTAATTTGTAAAATTTTCCTTCTAAATGTTTATACTGTTTTTATAATAATACTATTGTTTCAGTATTTGCTTATATAATAATAATTTATTATGTAGAAACAGCGTAGAATTTTGGTCAATCAGCCAGTACATTTTTTTGTATTTCAATCAGAATTATTATTTTCTTTTCTTCTTTACATAAAAGCTTAGAGTAATACTCAAATATTTTGCAGTATTTGAATACGGAATTTGATTATTTATATTTATTGGACAATACCCAAATATTTTGCTGTATTTGAATATGGAATTTGATTATTTATATTTATCGGAATATTTATTTTCAACGTTTTTGTTAGTAAAGTTTACATAATATATGAAGTTTGTTTCTTCACTTGCTTGTCCAGCCATATTAGTCCAGGCTAATAAGGATTTTCTCGTGACACTCAATAATCCAGGTAGCTGACAACTTTTTTAGTTATTGTAGACCTATAAGAAGAAAACCTACCTGTTTCCTGCGTAAAGTTCGGAGCCGTTTTTTAATGATTAACAATTAATGCAAAAAACGCGATTCTTTCGATTTTTGCACTCTATTATTTATTTATTTATTTTTACGCACAACAGGCCGTTAAGGCCTAGAGCATTTTTTTTACAACATAATTCTAATATTAACTAATTACAATTATTTTAAACAAAACTTTAACGTAAATATGTATATATAACATTCTTAACTACTCTGAAGGACCTGGTGTACAAAATTTTTCCATTCGCTTCTATTTTGTGCTTTTTTTTCCATTCCCTCACCTTCACGTGTTTAAGGTCTTCCTCCGCTTTACTAATCCACCTCGTTCTGGGTCTACCTCTTGTTTTGGGGTCGATTAATTTTCTGGTTATTACTAGTTTAGGAATTCTGTTTGCTGCCATTCTTTCCACATGTCCCAACCATCTGATTCTTTGTGCCTTGACGAACTTGGTAATAGTAGGTTCTTTGTATAAAGCCATTAATTCATTGTTGGTTCTTCTCTCCCAACCATCTTCTGCCTTTCGTCCTCAATATGCATCTCAATATTTTCCTTTCCCATCTTTCCAGAGTATCCTCTTCCTTCTTATTTAATGTCCAGGCTCACCGGCATATGTTACTGTGGGTCGAATTACTGTTTTATATATTCTGAGTTTACCTTGTCTAGAAACGTATTTTGAGTTCAGTAGGGCTCTTAAACCACCTAATTTTTTATTCCCTTTTGCTATTCTGGCTACGGGCTCCCATTTCTCTTTTCCATTTTCATCGAAAACTACACCTAGGTATTCAAATTTGTCCACCCTTTTAAAACTATAGCTTTTACCACTTACTGACCTCATACTAAAGTCTTCTTTTTTCCCTTCTGTTCCTTCTATGATCATATATTTAGTTTTGTCTTCATTTAGTTCCAATCCAAATTTCTGTGCTTCTTCGATGATTTTCTTCACAACTCTTCTTAATTCTTACTCGGTTTTTGCTAGGATCGTTAGATCATCAGCAAATGCCAAGCACTGGTGCTCATTTTTCATGATCGTTTCTTCCATCTTCATGTTGCATTTTCTGATTACAGTTTCTAATACTAATTTGAATAATGTAGTGGATAAAGGATCTCCCAGTCTCAAGCCTTTTGCAACCGTAAATTGATCTGATATGTTAGCACCCTGCCAAGCAGGGTGCTAACAGGTGAAGATGCTAACAGAGTAATGCCTCTATAGTTCTTACAATCCGGTTAATCGTCCTTTTTATGCAACGTATATTATTTCATTTAGCCACTCTTTTGGAACAAATTCATTTTGCCATACAAGTACTATTAGTTTATGGGTTACTGCAAAAAGTTGATCATCACCTTTTTTTATATATTTTCCAACAGATTTAATCGATTTCTGTGGCTTTATTGTCTTTGAGTTTTAGGACGGCATTTGACACTTCTATTATTGTTGGGTGTTCACTGTGTAGTTGTCGATGTAGATTTTGTTGATTGTCTATGTTGTAACCTCTTTCAATATCGTTTATATCATATATTATATAATATATATATATATATATATATATATATATATATATATATATATGTATATATATAATATGATATAATAATAATGTACTTATTCTTCTTCTTCAAGTTCCACTCCTATCGGAGATTGGAAATCATTCTGGCAATTATCATTTTGTTGGATATGCGGCTGAATAGTTCTGTTGAATTGCATCCAAACCATTCACGGAGATTGCGTAACCACTAGATTTTTCGTCTTGATCTGTGATGTATGATGTGCCCCAAGTATTCTAATTTCCTGATTTTTATGGAATTTAAAACTTCGCATTGTTTTCCTAGTTGTTCGAGAACTTGTTCGGTTGTTTTGCGATCCATCCATGATATTTTCAAATCACGTCGGTAGCACCACATTTCGAATGCTTCTAGGTTTTTAATGTCGGATTTTTTAAGTGACCAAGCTTGAATCCCATATAAAAGGGTAAAGAAAATATAACATCAAAGCATTCTTATCCGGAGCGATATATTGATATCTCGATTACAAAAAAGTTTTCTCGTTCTATTAAAAGTTGACCGTGCAATTCCAATGCGGCATCTTATTTCTTTTGTCTAATCAGTATCTTCTGTGATCCATGCTCCAAGGTATTTGTACAAAGATATTTGTTCAATTTCTGTATTATCTAGTACTAGCTTAACTTTGATGCTTTGTGCTTTTGTAAATACCATGAACTTGGTTTTCTTCAAATTTATTTTTAGTCCAAAAAATGTACCTATAATATGATATAATCCTTATAAAATTTCTTCCGACGTTCATTTTTCATTCAATTCCATTCCATTCATTCAATTCCAATTCCATTTCAAAACTTAATGAGTTCTTTCGAGCTCATTAAGTTTCTTATTCCTTCCATCCGTGTTTTCTAAGGTAATCCTCTCTTCTGGATTACGGTAGGTGTTCATACAGGTACTTGTTTTAGGAGTCTACTGTCTTTCATTTATTGGACCTGTACCCATTTGAGCTGCTTTCGTTGTATGCCATCCATGACTGTACCTTCTATTCTCATACTTTATTGCATTAAGTTCGACGAGATATCTTTCTTCGATATTAATCTGCCTCTGTTAATCGTCGTGTTTCACAACCGTATAAATAAAGCATGCTTTTTATCACAGTTTCATGGGTTGTAGTGCTAGAGAGAGCATGTCAGCTGTGCCAAAACGAAAAATAATCCTCCTTATTGCTTCCACTGGAATAAGCTTGACCATTTAACTGGGCCCGGGCTACCTCTTTCTAATTCTTTAAACTCCTGTTTTGAAATTAATAATTATTTTGTCTAATTATCTATTTAGTTGTCAAAACAGATACATTGTTAACTAAAGAAGTGAAAGTGGTTCAATTTAGAAATTATATAGTAAATAATAAATATTTGAAAACTGATGCACATATTCCTCCCGCGATTTATGCTTCAAGTACTAATTTTATAAATCGCACTTCTACTAATAGAAGTAAATTCTTTCATTTTAATTTCATGAATGTTTTTATTCAACATTATTTCAAAACCGCACTGAATAGAAGGCCGCCCACTTGTTTATTGTATAGACCCAAGACTTTACACAATAGGGGGTTGTATAAGGTAGGTATAAAGCTTACCTCTAGCACAGTATAGTGCTTTGATAAAGCACTATACTGTGCCTCTAGTACAAGATGACGTTTAGAATATTCTTCCTGAATGGATTTTGTTTTTGTAAAGAAAGATATTTTTGAAATAGACATCTCTCTGAATTTTACCGTTACAATATTCGAGGATAAGCCTTAAAAAGAATCGAGGCTTTCGAATTCTGGTTATAACGCGGAGTATTAAAAATATCATGGACTGATAGAATTACAAATAAAGAAGTACTGGAGAGAGTTGGTAAAGAAACAGAACTAATCACCACTATACAAACCAGAAAACTGGAATACTTCGGCCACGTGATGAGGTGACATAAATATGAAATTTTAAGACTCATAATACAGGGAAAAATTTAAGACCAACAGAACATTTGTTGGCCGAAGGCAGAACTCATGGTGTGATTAATATCAATGCAGATCGATTAAATTGTTTAGAGCAAGTTCTAAAATAAAAATAGCCATTATGATTGCCAACCTCCGTAGGGAGACGGCACTCTAAGAAGAAGAACTGAATGACCACATTTCTCTCGGATCTTTGTAGTTATACCATTGTGTAAATTATGTAGTATTAAGATTTATAATTTTATATTATTGAATGTGACTTTTTGTGTTTAAAATACTTTGAAATTGAGAGCTTAGAAAATGGAATTAATTCACTGCCGTTGATATAAAAGGCTTAAAAAATAATTATTAAAATAAATAGTTGATTAAAAGGTTTTGTTGACTTTTATATTTTTTCTTTATAGATATTATAAAAGACAAGCTTTTCTGGTTCATCCTGACAAAAACAATTTGCCTGGAGCAGAAGAAGCTTTTAAAATATTGGTTCATGCATTTGATATGATAGGTGAACCTGAAAGGAGAGCAGCTTATGACAGAGGTAAGTTAACACACTGACTGATCCCGAATATTATACTGAACACTATAATATTGTTAACATGCAATAATTATGAAAAATACAATTTCGATTTAACTTTTCCGATTTCACAAATCAAATTATCGTGTTGTATTATACTTAATTATGTGGTAATATTTCTGATAATAAAATAAAACTAAGATACTATCGAAAAACTGCTTCGTACTCCTAATAATATTGTAACCGAAAAAACCCAATAACAATTTAACCCAAAGTCGATCATAAAAAACGTTTTATTGCTTTGAGTTTACAAATTAGAAGACAATACAAAAACTGGTTAAGAGGACCATTGAAAAGATTCGTTATAGTCGTAGATCCGTTACTAAAATTCCCTTTAAATTGCTGCTTCTGGGCGATAACAAGACATTCTTACATTCCAAGTTGGATCACATCACGTGATATTAACGTACACTCTATTTTCCAGTTCGGGCTCCACGTACATTATACGCAATTATTTCGCACTCTCAGAAGAAAGAAGTCTGACAATACATTCTCACGACCTACGATGGTCATCACGCGCTACGTAAAATTATTTCGCTTTCACCGCACATTATCAAAGACATAGCAAAGAAGTCAAGTTATTAAACTTAGTAATTTGTTAAACACAAATTGTCAAATGAAAGTGTTTGTAGATGTGCCCAAATAAAATAAACATATTTAAATTCACAATCTACAAGTACAAGATTTATTAATCAGAGTCTTATGATGAGGACTCTTATGAAGGAAGAATCTTATGTTGAGGACAAGACATCCAGAACAGTATTCCTTTCATCATTATTCCCTTTGTGTTCAAAGGGTATCATCTCAAAACGTGTATTTAGAAAAAAGTTTCCAATCTGGAGGGCGACACGTCAAATAAAGTAGTTCAAATTTTGCAGTTCTTTTGAAGTTCCATCATACATGTCCCATAAACATTCGACCTTCGCTCATAACTTTTTAATGCTTTATTCTTCTACATTCAGTTCGTGGCACCCTTTGAAGTAATGCCCATTTGACTTAACAACACGCTCGCTGTCGATACTTTAAGTTACTGAAGTAGTTCGGAAATTTAGTTTTTGTAATGGCCTTGAGTCGAATTTGTTTGAATCGTATCTATATCGCCCTTTAATTCATTTTCAGTTTTGAAAACACGAAAAATTCGTAGTGTACCATGTCGGAACTGTACGGTGACTGATGTAATGTAACTATTTTTTCAAAAACTGTCACACAAAATTCGTAAAAAATGGAGCCATTTCTTTCTCATTGCGTTACGCAATATTTTTAGAACTTGACCGAAAAATTATTTGTTGATTGTCTGACGTCTTAGAATATATTTATTTTGCATAACCCCTTCATAATTATTTTCAATATAACGGCATCATAACCGCAAACACACTATACATTTTGTTTGGCAGTAAAGTTAATTCTAAACCTAATGCAAATTCATTGCTCGCAACTCTCCTTTACTTTCAACGATAAAAAAACGACTAAACAAAAGCATGTTTTTACATACGAAACAATTTCGATAGTGAAAAGTTACTAATTACACACGTACCTCACAGAGGGCGCTGGAATATTTTGGCGCAAAGTTATGATCGAAGTTCAGATCTCGTATTATAATAGTAAAATGCCACAAGAAAGTAGCTAAGGAACATTATATTTTTTATGTTGTTTCCAACGTATTACCAATAATTTGTTTTGTCATGTTTTAGGTGTTGTTGAATCGGCGCAAGTAGTACAAGCCTGGAGTGAGCTCACGGAACTTCTCCAGCAGCTACAACAGAAAGTAGAAGCGGCAGCTAATACCATTAGGTGTAGTTCTTGTGGTCTAAGGCACAAGAGGGTCAAAATAGATAGGCCTAGTTACGCTGCACGGAACTGTAACACTTGTAAGGTATGAAAATTATAATTTAAATCATTTATTAGTGAGTTAATTTTGATGTATTAGTCATAAAATGTAATATAATTAATTAATTAAATATAATTTACAAAGTCGGAAACGATTAAACATTTGTAAACCACAAAAAAAATATATCTCTCTTCTTAAGGTAAACAAAATATGAATTATTTAATAAATACAAGATAAAATATGAAAAACAAGATTGTAAATGAATTCATATGGAAGAGTTTTGTCTTGTCTTTGTAAACTACTATTTATTGAAGAAAATGCAGATATGGTTCTAAAAATACGCTGGTATATTAGAAACCTTATCAGGCTTGCATTAGAACCCCTCATTTTTAACGCCAAAAAATATTCAAAATAAATTGTTAGCAATAACAAATTACGACTAAAAAGTTTACGCTACAACGTGATAACTGGTTTATTTACTAGATAAGACACCTACGGGAATATTGATGATTAACTTTTAAATATGTTTATATGTAGCTAATTTGACACAAAATTTTGTGAATATTTCGACAATACCTAACTCTATGTTATTCATTATTTAGTTTTTGTTTTTTCGATTTTAAAAAATAAGTATTTATATTCTTTTTTCTTTGCAGTATTCATTGTGTTTATATGTTTAAGATTCACCATTCAGCACGCGAAGGTGATATATGGGCCGAGGCCAAAGTAATGGGCTTCCTTTGGCACTATTATGCCTGTATGGAAGGAGCAGTATATGACATTACCGAATGGGCGGGATGCCAAAAAGACAATCTCAAACACCTACGTCCTGATTCTCACCACGTACAGTATAGGTATAATCTAGTTATTCTTTATTTTTAATTAAATGAAAAACATCTTAAACACATTTAAATGACAGAAATCATATATATTTGACAAACGAATTAGATGCCATCTATAGGATGGCAAATTTCCTCTTTTGCATTCATTAATTGATATACTAGATATAGGCCACTTCAGTTATTTCTATGCTTCTTTCCTCTACCTTCTGCATTTCTGATGTGTTACCTATTTTGATTTCTATTCTACGAACAACTAGAACAAACGACCCAACAAGTAAACCAAGGCGATATACTAATAGTGATGGGCGATATGAACGCTAAAGTTGGAGAAGACAATATTAACTTAGAAACCGTAATGGGTAAACATGGCCTGGGAGTGATGAATGAAAACGGAGAGCGCTTTACAAATTTTTGCTCCAATCATAGCTTAGTTATTGGTGGAACTATCTTCCCACATAAAAATATTCACAAGGTTACATGGACTGCACCAGGTCATATAAGAGAAAATCAAATAGACCACATCACCATATCAAAAAGATGGAGATCATCCCTCCTTGATGTACGTAACAAAAGAGGAGCAGACGTCGCAAGTGACCATCATCTTGTAATCGGTACCATTAAAATCAAAATGGCAAAAAACAAAATCACACGAAACACCAAACGACCAACATACAATCTAGACAAATTAAAAACGGCTACAGGAAGACACATGTTTAGGGAGGAACTTCAACTCAAAAGAAGAGAACGTGAAGTAAATAGCTGGGAAGATCTGGCAAATAGCTGAAGATAAACTCGGTAAAAAAGAGAAACATAGAAAAGAATGGATATCAGATGAAACTTGGAATCTTATCGAAGAAAGAAAACAGCAAAAAAAAGATATTCTGCAAGCAAGAACTGTAGAAGAAAGAGCGAACCGACAACAAGAATATGAAACAATAAATAAAGCAGTTAAAAGAAATGCAAGAAGAGACAAAAGAAGATGGACTGAAGAACTGGCAAAACAAGCCGAAATAGCTGCACAACACAATAGAACTAGAGAGCTATACCAAATTACCAGACGTCTAACAAAAAGTGGGCCCAACTGTTCAAACGTCGTAAGATCCAAGACAGGGTAACTACTTACTACAACAAATGACCAAATAGAGAGATGGAAAGAGCATTTTCAGGAGATGCCAGGCACGCCCAGGGATAACGCAGATGAAATTGTCGAAAATCCACAGAATATAGACTTGCGTATATCTTGCGACGCCCCTTCCAAAACAGAGATAATAACAGCTATCAAATCTCTGAAAAATAACAAGTCTCCGGGAATCGATAACATTGCTGCCGAAATGCTTAAAACTGATCCGCATCTAACTGCTGAACTTTTGCTCCCCATAATCCGAGAGGTGTGGGAAACAAACCGCATTCCAGCGGGCTGGAAAAAAGGCATCATTACTAAGCTTCCAAAAAAGGGCAACCTCACACTATGAAAAAATTGGAGAGGAATAACCTTGCTTACCGCCATAAATAAAATCTTCACGACCATCATACTTAAAAGATTAACAAACAAGGTTGAATTTCGAGCTAATCAAGTAGGCTTTAGACCAGAATCCTCCTGCATAGACCACATTAATACTGTGAGGCTAATAATGGAACAATCGGTTGAATGGAACACGCCCCTATACATGGTTTTTGTTGATTTCGAGCGTGCTTTTGACAGCTTATCTCATGATGCAATATGGAAAATTTTAGAGCTAAGAAACATCCCGCATAAAATAATTTCCATTATAAAGTTACTGTACACTGAAGCGAAATGCAGCGTGACACACAATGGGATCAACAGTGACGAATTTGACGTACTTACTGGAGTCAGACAGGGATGCGTGCTTTCTCCGTTTCTTTTTAACATAGCTCTAGACTATGTTCTCTCCAAACTAGACTCTGACACAAGAGGGATACAATGGACGTTAACCACACGCCTAAGCGATCTAGAATACGCCGACGATATCTGCCTGTTAGGACAAAGGTTCCAAGATGTGGCTGACCAATTGGAAACACTTTCCACTGAAGCCAATAAAATAGGTTTGAAAATCAATATTGGTAAAACCAAATCCATGAGAATAAATGCAAGAAACAACACGCTATTCACCATTAATAACATGCAGATTGAAAATGTGGAAAACTTTACGTATCTTGGAAGTGTCATAACAGAAAGCGGAGGTACAGAAGACGATATTCCTATGAGGATACGAAAAGCGCAACAAGCTTTCAGCATGCTCAACCCTGTTTGGAGGTCTGGAGAATACACTACGAGGACAAAGATCCGCATATTCCAGTCAAATGTCATGTCTGTACTACTTTACGGATGTGAAACCTGGAAAGCGACAAAAACCCTTGCAGACAAACTGCAGGTCTTTGTTAATAAATGTCTACGAAGAATTGTTCGTATTTTCTGGCCTAACATCATCAGAAACGAAGACTTACTACACCTGACCAAACAAAAGAGGGTAGTAAATGAAATAAAGTCCAGAAAGTGGGGTTGGATCGGTCACACACTCCGAAAAAATAACTCCAGTATTGCAAAGACTGCCCTAGAGTGGAATCCCCAAGGAAAACGAAAAAAAAGGTCGCCCAGTACAAACTTGGAGAAGATCCATCATGGACGAGATAAGAAAACAAGGAAAGTCTTGGAATGAGGTGAAGGCCTTAGCGCAAAATAGAACCCGATGGCGCGTTTTCACTGAAGCTCTATGCTCCACTTAGGAGTTCAAGAACCTTATATATATATATATATATATATATATATATATATATATATATATATATATACCTATTTTGATTTATTTCTTTGAGAAGTGTTCTATGTTCATCCTCATTCTACGTTTTACAACGAGAGCGTTAAAAATTCCCCAATATTATCATCTTCCTGTGACTTTATCTACTACTTTTTGTAATTCGGCAAAAAACGTTTCCGATGATATTCAGGTCATCCTTCTCCATTCTTATCTTTGCTGTTACAATCATTTCTGGTACGTATTGACACTCTTTGGTCTGATTTTGGTACCTTTGGTGTATTAGTAAGGCTACACCCTCTATGGCAATGTTTTATTTTGCTACTGTAGATTAGTATGTGTTCACCTAATTTTGATTGTCCTTTTTCTTTTTTTCTTTTTTGGTTCCTGTAGAGCGCAAATGTCTATTTGTTTCTCTTTCGGCACTTGGGTTATTTCTTGGTCCGTTGTGTCGAGCGACCTGATATTCCATTTAGTAATTCTCATCTGGGTTTTGGATATTTTTTGCTTGTTCTTATTTTTTGCCATGATCTTTATAGTATCAATCCTTTTCCGAGGCTGTACATTGTTTCTTTGAGCAATATTCGTTTTTACGATTGGTAGGTTGCTAACCTTGCCAATCACCCTCCACCCACCAAAGCTGGGTTTTGGACCAGCTGTGGTAACCGTAGAGCTACAAAATCCACCCCGCAATTACCGTAGGCAGTGTTTCCAATATACATATTTATTATAATTCGGCTTTCTAAAATGTCTACATTTTCCATTCCATCCTATCTTTTTAGAATATAGTATTTTGTTTATATTTTAGAAGACTTTTGTAAATGAACGACGTGACATCAATATTCGTTCTAATCTAGATTAATGCATTCTTGTATTAAATATTTACAGTAATCTTTAATACCGTCTGTTGGTGTCTATCCTCTGTGAATATCGTCAATGACGTTGGTTAACATGAGTTTATTGTCAGCTGCTCTGAAATAATGCACGAGATCGTTCGACCTCCCTGATTTATATCGTCTTATCTTCCTTGCATATTTAGCTGAATGTGTACATAAGTAAATGAATGTCATCTTTGAATATATACATAAATAAATATTGTTCATTTCAGGATAGCACTAGGTAAACAAAATCAGCCGAGAAGGCACACGCCGACGGCACCTACTGATAGACCGGATCTGGAAAATCTCTTGAATACTCTCTATGGTCAAACTGAGGGCACTCAAAGTTCCCGACGTAGAAATAAGAAAAGCAAGTGAAATCGTTTTATCTCCAATATATTAGGATATTTTCTTTTTTTGCAAGAAAATGCTAATTACATTATAAAGCGCTTTAAGAATAATAAAAAAACTGTTTTAAAAACAAATAGTTTACTTGACTTTTATTGATAACTAACCTCTGTAAAAGTTTTAAATTAGAAGTACCTTATTCATCTTATTTCGGTCAAAATTTTAAACCACTTATGAGAGTGGATGTAAAAATCTTGAAAACTGAGCCCAATAGGTTTATCAGATAATCAAACCAGCTTTCGGCAAGTAAGCATCATAAAATAAATTATATTTTACTATGACTAAAGTGATGCCAGTTATCCCTTTCTTTGAGGGTCAGCTTTATGAGTTGAGAGGATGGGTATATTTTGCAAAATGTATTTATAGACTGTTGAATGAATATACTATTGTTTTGAATTCGGTATTATGAAAGTATTGATATAAATGGTCCAATGTGCTGAATTGTACAATAGTAAATTCTCCCGTTTTAAAATACGGTTGTAAGTGATGAAGTTGTTTACATTTATTTAGTAGAATATTCAATAAGTAGTACAAAAACAAAACAAAATTACGAATTTTCCTAATCTTCTTAAACTATTCTCAACCATCAGATTCACAGTTGTCGCTATCCTCATTCGGATGGTAAATTATAACAGGATTAACTGCTTCGATGCGATCTTCACGAATCCACCATTCTTCAATTAAGTCATCACATTTTTTATACCTTTCTCCCAAATTTCAGGAGTGACTGTATCCTGGACTGTATCCAATGCTTGTTGATGCAATGTGAGGAAATGCAATATTTCATTCGTCAACCATTCTTTTATTTTATCTATGTTCCAGGCGTTTGTTGGTTGCTTATTTAAAATTTCTGAATGGTACGGAGCATTATCTAGTACTAGAACAAATGGTTCATGTAAACTTAGCAACAGTTTTTCTTTCAACCATTTCAGAAACATCTCCGTATTCATATTGTTAGGATAATCTGCCGACTGTGATTCCCTCGGTATAAATGTTATGGATTTTATACTCTCGTCCTGTGAAATTCGTTTTATACTGCCTTTAGTAAAAATGTATGTTTCGTCTACACAAACAAATGAAGAACATTCTTTTTTAAATTTGTTTTAATTTCTTAAAAATGCTATTCTTTTATGAACAGTACTAGCTCTTTCACAGTCTTTCTATTGTCTTCATTTTTGAACTTAAACCCAATCTTTCTCAAAACTCTACAGAGACTTGTTTTGGAAATGTTTTGGCTTCAATACACAACATACTCTTTGAAATTAGAATCAGTACTAAAGTATGTCAAAATGACAGTAGATCCTTTTTTTAGTGAAATAATTATTAAGGCATTTCACTTTCGTACTTCCTCTGTTGCATAGTCAAAT